TGTAAAGTATAATTTTTTATTGTTTTTATATTTTTCAATATATTTATTTTGTTTGTACAAAATAAAAAAATAATTTTTAACGATACAATAGTCTTCGTTAGGCTTAACATCGACGAAAATTCAACGCGAAGCGACACGCAACGGAGAAAAATGTCAAGATGGGATAAATTAATATATTTTTTCGCACATAATCGGTTATCCGAAATGTCGATCTTCCGAACAACCCCAGTCCCCAATTGATTCGGATAATCGACGCTCTACTGTATCGTCTTTTATTAACCAATTATAAACTTGATACGTGGTACAGATTGGGCATATACTCTGTTAGTAATAGGAGTGGCGATTATTTTAATTAACCGACTATTCACATCTTCAGCTTGTATACAAATTACGAATGACAAGAGAAACTTATTCCTGTTGTACAGTACATAGAGAAAGCCTAATCGAACGAGCAAATATTTATTGTGGCATCGTCACAATGTCAGGCTTCAATTTTTAATAATAATTTAATTTTTAAAATCCGATTTACACGATTCCCACCATCAAAATAACTTGAATTACTTCTTCCTTTTTGAGCGTTGCGCTTGTAAAAGAATGTACAAAAATCAACATAATTCCTATGGTTGTAGACTGGACGACTTTAAGGAAGTATAGGGTTTTTCCTAGTTAACATCAAGTAGTAAAGTATTTTGTAAGGCATATTGTTTCCTTTCTGGACCCCTACAAAACTTTCTGGATTCTCAATTGGTTCCAAACTTATTATAGATTAATAAAATGAGATAAAAGCCATTTGCAACAGAAAAATTGACATTTTTTTATTCCAGATAACATATGTAAAAATACATACAATTATTAAACATATTTCAGATTAATTAATTCCAAGAATGCGATTGCTTCGCCCAGTGTTCCAGTGCTCGATACTTCGTGGATACTAAGAGAATTGGATTAGATTGATGGAATAAGGTAACGTAACACTTGGTCGATCTGTCAAAGGGGATACCTTCAGGAAGAACTTTCTATTTAAAAAACTGGCCCCTATTTAGGTATTATACGTGTGAAGATAATCCGGAAAACTCCAGCCATTGGTGGGCGCAGGGCGATGAATTAGACTAAATTCGATATGGTGTGACCTAACAACATATATAATTCGCCTTTAAGCATTAGTAGAAAAGAAAATTTCCTTACAATTGAAGACACGAGAATAACTAGTTATTGAGACTACTTTAATGACTTTCAAACGAAGACATTGAAGAAAATATCCAGAAGAATGGATAAATACAAATTAACAATGTTATTTTCTGTAGATATAAATGTGGTTTGACTTAAATATAATTAGTAAGTCAGTATTAATTCTATTAAATTCTATATAATTTAGTTAAAACAATCTTCAGTAGATGGCCTCACTGAACACTATGTATTTATTCGAACAATTAGATTTGTCACTGACCTTATGGCCTTTAAAGTTATGACATATAAGAAGGTCCTTCACCTTCGAGTAAATAGTAATAAATTTTAAAATACCCTTCGTAGAGTGAGACAATAAGATTTAAGTTGTGGCGCAGGGTAT